CCAAACGGTTTCAAAAAGTCCAGAAAAGTGTTCATAGGTTAATAATCCTAGAATTCTTACAAATCCAAATTCTGCTTGAAAAAAAATAATTAAAAGATTACGAAAAATCCCTATAATCGCAAATAATTTGAAAATGCGGAAAGATTATATTTAACATTTTTGTAGGATGGCAGATAATAATAGAGTTACCATCTGCCTAAATAACGTAAATGAGCTAAAAAAATTTTACAAATCTTATTTAACCCTGGTTGAAACCACAAGCAATCAAACAAATTTTGAACGTTTTCGGAAAATCTTAAAATTTCTGAAAATAAGTATCAAAATTTTAAGTTATTGTTAGTAAATTCTTAATAGTACCAAAAAAATTCAGATACGTGTAAATTGTAAATAAGTATAAAAACTTGCAAATCCAAATTTTGGATATGTTTCTTTTAAGAAATAAAAAAAAAATGTAAGTTCCGAAAAAACACCTAATAAGTTAGAAATTCTGAAAATAACGAAAATTTTTAATTTGCGTTGAAAACTTACTGAAATTATGGAAAAATTCTGTAAAGTGTCAGTAGTTTTCGAAAGTTGTAAATAGTTCCCAAAACCATTTAAGCAGCTCTCTAGTACATAAATACTCAAATACCTAACATTAAATAAATATACATACATATCTACTAAACAGTATCTTTGTGGCTGTCGAATGCTCAGTGAGTCGGGATAGTGCTTGTGTATATAGATTTATGTATATGTAAGTATGTATGTATAAGTATTTGCGCCTCCTGTGTCGAAAATTTTGCATAATTGAAAAATTTATGCACTAATACCGCGACGCTGTTTGAGTTTGTGGCATCACAGAGTATGCGTACATTTGTGGGCCTTCATGCGACCGAGCTGTGTGCGCCATATTACTATGTATACATACAAACATAGTATACATAAATATATGCATATTTACCTGCGCAACTACTGCCATAACCTGTTTCTCTGTGGGGTTACCAGTTAAGTGCGCTTATAAATTTTTTAATAGATTTGCTTTTGCTTAGGCAGCGAAACACTTAAAAGTAAGGACGAGGAGTGAAAACTGTGCGGCAAGTGGCAATAAAGGGCGTTCGCGATAGGTCAGTTATGTTCTGCATATAATTAATGGTATGCCACATATGACAGAAAGCTTTTAATATTTAATGAGTTGTCTCTTACCTGCATTCATACATAAGTGAAGCTTTGATTGTTTTTGCTCAACTTTGACGAAGTTATATGAATGGAGTGGGGGATTTTGAGTTTCAAATAAATTTGGCTTGAAATACTAATTGTATTAAATTAATTTTCTCGTAAAGTGTTTAAGAGAATGAGGTGTATGAGTAAGCATTTGTAATACTCATTTGCAATAGCTAAATAATGAATTTGTTAATTATTAATGAGTATAGGAAATTAAAAGATTTGCATTTATACCATATACAGTTAACCGTGGGAGGGTGGGGGTTCGGTTAGGTTTGGTTTTCTCCGCATTTTCGCCGCGTAATCGATTTTCATCATTATTAATGCATTACGCTGCCTCCACTCTCTCTCTTAATTTTGTAAGGATGCCTCATACTTTTTTCCAGTCTTTCAAACAAATTCACCGTTGTTGTATCAATTGGCAATTTTTGTGCTGCACCAGCATACTTGAGTGGCCATAAAGGAGCGGCGTACATTTTATTTCATTTGCGATATCAATTCGATTTAATTTATCCTTCACAACATGAAAGCTCTTCTTTTGGAAAGGTAGAAAATCTTTACTTTAAAAGACTTTAGTGCAAATACGTTTGTAAGTTGTACAGATATACCCAGATTATAATATTTTACTAAGCTAATTAATTAAATTTAATTTGAAGTTTCAAACAGGTGGCAACACTTTTCTCAAATCTCTTTCGTTTGACATCCATATTGTAGTACTTTAATTAACTTATTAATTAAATTTAATTTTTTTTAACAGGTGGCAACACTCTCCTCCTCGATCTTTTGACAACCACGCAGAAATATTTCTCTTAGCTTTATAATAAAATTAGATTTGAATTTTAAAACAGGTGGCAACCCTCTTTAAAAATATTTTCGAAATAAATTTTTCCCAAGCATTCCACGTTGTAATATTTATTTTAAACTTATTAAATGTATTGAAATTTATTTATTAAATTGGTGATAACATCTTCAAAAAAAAATTTTTCAAATAAAGCTTTGTCTCACCTTAAATCTCTTTAGTTTGAGTAGAACCTATCACTAGAACCGAAAAATTTTCAGCGGATTTTTATGTTTTTAGGATCTCTAATTACGAGTCTGGAGATTGATTTTAAAAATTCCATATGGCGGATCCAATATTGCGGGCAAAAAAATTACAATCTATTCGATTCGCTTGAAAAGTTTTCCACAGGCGTTCTTGAGGTCGCTGACTACGATTTTAAAAATACGAAATAACGAATCCATATTGGATCTACTATTTATCACGGAGAAGACAGACTCGATCAGGAAACGGACCAGCGTCGCATCCAGTAGTACATAGTTCACATCAATAACCGCCTTGCTACCTTTCAGTGTCCATAAAATGCTTTTAAATGGAAAGGACATACTTAATTGTTGCAGCAGTACTTCGCATTAGGATGCTTCTCACTTTTATCTGATTAAGTAGTTTGTTGCTTTAAAGAATTTTCATGAATTGAATGCGTTTGTATGTAAATATGTATGCACATATGCATGTGGAACATGTGGAAACAAATGTACACATAATGTACTTACATACATATGTACGTCACATAGCTTTTGAATTCCCATACATTCTCTCTCCTCGTTAATTAAATAATTAACATGCTTTTGGCAGAAATATTCTTGCAATCCATTCAAAAATTCGTTTACCATTTCAGTTTGAAATTTTCAGCTGGAATTTGATCGTTTGATTTTCTGCTTACAAAGAGTACGTGCTTAAGTGCATATTACAGTAAAGTGCCAAAGAGGAAATTTATTAATACACGTGCAGATGTTTATGTTCAATTTCGGACAGCACAGAATGTCATTCACCCAGTTGATATTTTTTGTAATTTATAAACTGGACTTAATTTTTTCGATAAACGGTGAAGACAATTATTTTATTCAAAATATGAATGTGGTTGGACACATTTGGACAATATGGCCTTGTATATACATATACATATGTATATGAGGCCGCGAGAGCTTTCTTCTATATTTTGCGAAAATTCCAAAGTTGTATCGATTAGAAGAACATGTGTCGAGGTTTAGATTTGGATTGGATTAGTTATGCCACTCTTGCCGCAAATAAGCGATATGTACTTACATCATTCATATTTGATCATTCTTTCAGAATGTAAGATGAGTTATTCGTACACATCATCCATTGTAGCCAGATCACATCACAACCAATGAGTGAAATCATATAACGCATGAAGTCATTCTAGGCATTCTTTGAATGCGAACCGTTAAAAATGCTTTCAGAGAATTTAGTTGCCTCTGATTTGACATCTGTCTTTTACATATAAAAGCAGCTGGTATTCAAGACACTACCAGGAACTGTTGAACCCAATAATAAAGTACTATTGGGTTGAGCATTTGGGCATTGCTTAAACGGCGAAGTCACTCCATCTAGCTTAGGTCTAAACCAGTCCGGTAACTTACATTTCCTAGAAAAGAGCACATCCGTTGACACAAACATCTCCCCCTAATTAAGATGAATCCGCTTGCTGTATTAACAGTAACTTCAGGCGGCCCTGCTTTTATTTTCTTCAGTATATTTCTCACCACCAGCAACCGTGGTCTTCTGTTGATCGGTTTAGTGGTCTCATGCATACACCAGCTCCGAAACACCTCTGAAGCTCAGCATGTTGCTTGTCCATTTCGAAAAGGTATAGTGAACCATTGCAATTGTCATTCCATCCCAAATGGCCCGATTCGAGGCACAGTTGAAAGGCCCGGCTATATACATAACTACAGCTGGGAAGACAATACCTGTAATTATTGTACCATGATGAAGCATTATTTGCGTAATTCGCTATGCCACAAATGTCAAGTCCTCAGTTCTCCCTTCCCAAGATTGCTGTTCCCATCTGGCTTTCACTGCTGGCATAGTCTATGTCAAAGTTTCCTCACCTATACAATTTCTCTACTCTGTCTAGACAACAAATTCCCAATAAGAATCCGAATGAGAAGGCTCAGGATCGACGAATATCTCGAATAGATTAAGAAAATCTCTAGCAGGCTAAAAAAATCGACTGTCTTGTTTTTTAAAAATTCCTATAAAAGTGCATACAAAAAAAATTTAGTTTTTACAAAATTTAAAAATTTTACTCAGAATTTTTAGTAGCGGTATACACGATCCGGTGCATACTGTCTACCATGGTGCATAGATAGCATAAATAGCAATTTTCTTCAAAAATATATATATGTACATAGTTCATTCCGATATGTTGACTTAAAAGTTACTTATGAAATTTCATATTTTAAACAAATTTTTTCCTGTGTTATTTACTTATTTACTCGAACTCTCTGAAAAATTTCTAACGGAAGAAAGACAATTAAGACTATGTCTAGAAGCGCCTCTAACCTAACTCTACTTACTCACCTTGAGGCCAGTTCAGTCCTGCAAACTTTAAGGGCACTCTTAGGTTACTAGGAGGCCCTACATGGATTTATAGTAATCAACTCGTCGTTCCTTTGTGAAGACGCTGTACAGACATTGAAGCCAGTGCAATCAAAATCCGCTTCCTCTCTGTCTGGTCCCGTCAACTATAACAAATTGTATGGGTCTCTGATTTTTGAAATGGTAGACATCATTTGATGATTGATAAATAAATCCCATAAATCTTCTATCTATGCACTCATTCCACATATGTATATTGATAGAAGTAGGGAAAGCTGAAAATACTACCGGTTCTTCTACCTAAGCCTTTAGCTGAGTCAAAAACTATTAAGTTAGAATCAATCTAGTATTTTATGCATTGAATAAGTTATTTGAATTCTTTTTATTAGTTAGTAAAAAAAATAAATAATTTGCATCAACGACTCAAAAAAAAAAGAACATCAAAACTCATTTAATGTCAACTTCATTTCGACACTTCCATCTGCCGCATCATCTATCATCGGTGTGACCAACCTAAGCGGCTGTACATTGCGACCCAACGCATATGGCGGTCGATCTGCAGTCTTCACATAGAATGTGCCCCGCTTCGGTGTCGAAGGTTCACCACCCATGCGAAACTCTGCACCCGATTCCGAAATTATCCAAACATCCTCCGATTCGCGACGACAAAGTGTGCCCCAAAAACCCAATTTGCTGGTAATCGATTCGGCAAAATAGTGATAGGCACGCCTATGGGAACAGCCATAGATGTAGCACTTCTTCTGATCGCGTCCATAATTGGGATAGAAAGTCGCATGACCGACTGGCTCCTCGAAGCCCAAACTACTGCTTGTCTGTATGGATTCAACATACTCAGCATCGGTGGGATCGATGCGATACTCGTCGGTTAGATCGCGAAATTTCGGCCCAGCAGGATCGAGCGCATAAATGGTGTTAAAGCGAAATGGTTGCACTTGCTTGCCAGCGCTTCCGGCAATTTGCGCGCCCAACGAGTGGCCGATCAAGTAGACATCGTGATAGTGCAGGCCCGTCCTCAGGTGCAGGAAGTGCACGAAATCTGCGAGTAAACGACCAAGATCCTCAACCATTTCGACAACGCCAAAATAATTGACATTCGACGATATCAAACTCCAATCGCAGACGATGACATTGAAGTCGTCGCTTGGAGTGTTGGTGGCATTGGTGTTGAGGTCACTTGGATAGCTGCTGTCGATATTGTTTTCAAAGTCATTGCTAAGTGGTGGACTGTCGGTGACGATGCCGCTATCTGACGCATCAGTGAAGCGGCTATTATCGGGGTCGTTGGCAGCTGATGGTGGCACGCGTTTGACTAGACTGAGATAAGCGTTTTTGACGGCACGATTCAAGGCGCCCTTACTCTGACTCATCCAACCGTGAATGATTATTCTGTAAAGAAATGATGAGAGAGAGAGTGAGAGAATGAGAGCAAATATGGCATTATTTGGAAAAGTAAAAATATCTGCTCGCAGTTTGGTAAACGGGAAACTCTTCAAGCAAATTCAAGGGAACGGCTAAAAGAAGTGAATGCGTCACTGAGTCATGAAGTTGTAGCTGCAGCTGAGCATACAATGAGTACTTAAATTCATGTTTTTATATTTATTTAACTACACAGGCACCCACATTTTTATGTATAACAGTAGTGTTGATGCATATTGTGACCTCAAAAACGTCGATAAATAATCGCGAAATTTACGTAGACCGCATTTGGCGCGTTTCTTTGAATAAATTTTTTTTCTTTCTTTCTTCTTCACGGAAATTACACATTTTTATTTACACTTACTCGCCAATTGCTGCTTAGGAATTAGCGCTTTTTCCTCTTTTTTCAAACTACCGCATAAGATTAAATCAATTATTCAAACAAGCCTACGAAATCGTTATTTTGATAATAAAAATAATTTCCATTAATTTTTTTTTGCCAAAAGTTACTAATACTTATGTATATCCATTACGAAATTTCACATTAATTGCACTCATTCATTTTTAATTTCCCATGTCAAATAAGCGAATATTAAATTTTAAGTGTTTTTATTTTATATGGTACACATGTGTGCATGTATGTACATTAGGGTGGCCCCTAAAAAGAACATCATCTAAATTTTTTTTATAGGGCACACTTTTATTTTGTTCTACGTACAAAATAAAGACATTCATTAAAAAATTTCAAAATCTATACATATGTATAATAAAATTGTAACATATGTCTGTGCATCATAAATATTGAAGAAAAAATAAGGCAAATCGACAATTTTTAGAATTTTTGTCTGTCGATGCATTGCTAAAGGTCTAACTTAAATATAGGAAAAAAAACAATTAGAGAGCTGCCACCTGTTTGAAAATTGCAGTTTAAGTTAATTGATAAGATAAAGTAAATATTGCAATATGGCTGTCAAAAGAAAACGGTTTTAGAAAGCTTGCGGCCGAAAATATTTTTGGGCAAGGTTGCCACCTGTTTGAAAATTTAATTTGATTCAATCGATAAGATCAATAAAATATTGCAATATGGGTATATAACTAAAGAGATTAAAGAAAGTTTACTGCCAAACATATTTTTGAGGAGGGTTGCCACCTGTTTGAAAATTTTTATTAAATTGATATAATGAAATATTACAATACGGCTATCAAACTAAAGCGGTTTAAGATATTTTATTGCCGAAAATATTTTTGTAGCGGGTTGCCAACTACTTAAAATATTTCATTCAGTTAAAGTGATAAGATATGGTAAATAGAAAATTGACACAACTTTGAAATAAAAATGCACGATTTGTATCATCAATTTATAAGATTATAAATTATGCTTCCAGGAATAAATTCCTTACATACACACATACATACATATTAGCTAAACCCTTATTCATAAAAAAAGTATATTCCATAAACCGAAAATTTGTTTGAAAATCTCCCTCCATAAAGCTCTTCAAATCTATTTTATTTTCTATATATGTACTTTTAAGGCACAGTGAAGCACGCCGGGCATTTGCTTGTTTTAAAATAATTTTTAATAGGCAGAACCCTGCTTCAAAAAAATGTAAATCTGATAAGCTGCGATATTTTTTAAAACTACTCATATCAATTCATAGTAATTACCAAGCGCATTTATCATTGTTATTTGCTTAAGTTTTTTTTTTTGGAATAAGTGCAGCATTTTCAAAAAGTTTTCTAAGTTCTATTACACTGGCTAACAAAAAGCTACTTTGAAAAAATACCAAAAAACTCTTGTTAGAGTTAGTATGGACTTCCTGAGCTCAAAACGCATTTTTTTTTAAATTTCCTTTAGACAGTTTTTTGGGATAATGGTATTTTTGAGTGTGTTCAGGGCATGACTAAACTGACACATCCGATTAATTGAAGTCAGTACTTCGCTGGAAAGACAGTTAAAATGCGTATCAAAATTTGTAGTTTTGATTTAAAAAAAATTTCTTTCAGACCCTGGTAGTGATCCCTAAAATTATATTAAAATTTTGAAATTTTCGTAGATATCTCTACAGCAACGTAGAACAAAATAAAAGGCTACCTCATGCAAACTTTAAATGTTGATATTTTTAAGGATCACCCTAGTGTACATAATATGTACAACATTCGTGCAATGCACTTTGCGGCTCAAAGTTTCTAATTCTATTATTTAGTAGCAATGCATCGATGTATTATTAATTGTTTAAATATACAAAACGTAAGTAAGTATACAAAAACGTGTCAATTATTCATGGCTGTTTTTGTGTGTTTGTGTTTCATCTAATGACACCGCATCCGTGGTGACACTTTCGTTAATTATAAAACGGCTATTAATTAGTTGCACTTAGCTGAATTTGATTCTGATTGTATGCATTAAGGTGGCCCTTATTTTTAACCGACTTACAAAAAAGGAGGAGGTTATCAGTTCGTCCGAATATTTTTATTTATTTATTTTAATTTTTTTTTTTATGTATGTACACGCATAACTTTGGACCACGTCAACCGATTTCGGTAATTCTTTTTGCATCGGAAAGGTAGTGTCTCGGAGGTGGTCCCATACTAATATGGTTAATTAACCCTACCCATAGAAGGCCAGACAAGACTCCACCCTGCGGGTTCCATTTCTAACGTACCGCCCTTACGCTCTGGTTAAAAGTATGGTATGTGGCCACATTTTTTTTGTGTACCGGTGTAATTTATACTTACATACATACATACATAAATATGTATACGTATGTAGATTATATACATACATACATACCTCGTTGGATGCTCCGGATTGAACTCGGACATGTCCAAAGTATTATGATCATCTGTAATAATTTCACGTCCACACTCGGCAAAATCACGTTTATATAGAAAGAATTGCATTTTGACGCGCATCGTACTGGTAAATGGTATCAAATGTTTGAAGAAATGTTTCAGGAAAGTCGAATCAAAGTGGCGAGCAAAGAAGCTGCTTGGCCGGCGTAGCGTATGACCGCACACATCACGCAATGTGGTGGCAAGTGGCGCGCTGCTAGCGGAAGGAACTGCAAATAAGATGGGGAAATTTAGTGAAAAGAGAAAAACGAGAACAGATGAAAGTGCACATATTTTGGTACCTATATTACACGATTGGTACAATATGGATTTTGTAAGTTATTTTTTGAATATCTCAAAAATTAATATATGTAGTTAGAAAAATGGATCTGGTCTCGTTTAAAATATAATATTTGCGATTATATAAATAATATATTAAGAAAAAAATCTAAAAATTAAAAGTTTACAGAATTTCGAAATTAAAAAAAAAACCTAAAGCAAAAACTTGTAAAAATGTATGGGATTTTTTTTTTATACACTGATCTTAAAAGATCCTGAAGTTTTCAAGAAGGTGTTATTTTAAAGATATGAATTTTTTAACTTTGAAATTTTTTTTTGCAAACTCTTAACAGGGCAATTCTGGCTAAGATAGTAAAACGTCTTTCGTAAGACAAATGAAAGACAGATGGCAGGACAGATCGAAAGACTTTTGATATTATAGCACAGAAGTCTTATAAAAAGCTCTCTAATTCACTACTCGCGGTGAAAAACTATTTTGAGAGAAAGCACTCGTATATCATTTAGCTTGCGTCGCTCCGACAGTCGCAATGCCCGAGTGAGCAAACATAGACGTATCATTCGACAGATCCGAGTTCGAGTCCTCGAGCAGCGGATTTTTTATTAAATAAAATTTTTTAATTTTTAATTTAATTTTCTTTTAAGTTTTAGATGTTAATTCTTAAAAACGAAGAATATTTTTTTAATTTCATTTATTTTTTGGCAACTTATTTTATTCTTATTTTAATTAATTTAATTTTTGTTTTTTTAGATTTTATTGTTAAATAACGAAAATTATTTTTTGATTCCATTTAATTTTTTGAAACTTATTTTATTTATTTCTTCCTTTTTAATTAATTTGTTTTTATTTTTTAATTGTCCTGATTTGTATTTTACTAGTTAATAGTAGTAGTTAATTAGTTTTTTTTTTTTAATTTTTAGATTTTTTACAGAGATAAATATTTGTTTAACTTTATTTAATTTTTAATTGCTTAAGAGAAGAAATCTCTTTTGATATAATTTTTTCTAACTTTATTTTTAGATTTTATTGTTTTAAAAGCATTTCTTTAATTTTTTTTAAATAATTTTTATTAATTTTTGCTTTATGTTTTTATTTAATTTTCTTTTATTTATTACTTTTTATTGTTTTAAAAGGAAACAAATATACATATTTTTAAATCAATTAAATTTTCAAAAAACTTATTGCTAAAAAGCGAACAGCGTAACGTTGAGACCTCCGCATTAGCAGATCTTTCAATTAGTCTTTTGAAAGACAGTAAAGAACTCTCAAGATAGTTGCCAGAATTGACCAGTAAATAAAATTATTTTAAACATTTTTTATATAATTTAAAGTAATTTTTAGTTTACAGTTTGAAAAACATTTTTTTTTCTTAAAGTTAAAAAATAGTCAGAAATTTAATTATTTTTTCGCTTTTAGGATTTTTTAAAATTTCCAAATGCTGTAATTTTTAACTTTTTGATTTTTTTTTAATATTCATATTTTTTTATATAACACAAATATTACATTTAAAACGAGACTAGAACCATTCTTGTCTATAATAGCTTTTGAGACATTAAAAAAAAATAACTTACAAAATTTGGGAAGTTTTTAAATATTGTATTTTTGAAATTTTTTTTATTTCTTTTTTTACTTTTGAAATTTTTTTTATTTCTTTTTCGATTGCTATACGATTAAAGAAAAGTTCTTACCAAAATTTATTCGAATCAAAAATGGTAAATTCTAACCAGTGTATATGAGTTGTAAATATTTTTCAAAAGACACTGACTTCCCCCTCTGTTCTCGCTCTTGAAAGGTTTAAGATTTTATAAAAGTATTTTCACTTCCATCTGAATAAAAAAAAATAAATATCTTTTCCCTCCATTTTTTTTTCACTTACCATTTGTAGCAAGTATCACTAAAACAACAACAGCAGCCAGCACTGCTAAGCGCAGTACGACACGACTAGCGTATAAATTATTAAATTTAACCGTTGCCCTGCTCATCTAAGCTCGTAGACGAACCAGTAATAAAAAGAATAACACAATTGAAGATTAACCTCAGTACTTCCACTTCAATTTTCACTCTTTCATAATATTTGAACGTACTCGCGAATTAGCACATCCCGGCCATACGAAGACACTGCGAGGAAACAAACGCGTAAAAATGTCAACAAACTTAATATGTAGCTATGACACGACAATAACAACTCTGTCAGCTACTTATTTAGTTAGTATTCGTATTAAAGTTGACAGCTTTTTAATCGTGAGTCTGTTGAATGGCGTTTTGTGTTGTTGAACTGAGGCTGTGATCGCGCGTGCACCGCTCTCAACTAACTGCTATTCAATTTAGTTCGCCGACAAGCACTTGCGGTAAATGCAATATATTTAGCATATTATTATGTATATATTTAATATACATATAAATACATAAATATTTATTTACATTTACTTTTGTCGAAATAAGCTTAAGCTCTGCCATCAACCAGTTTGCGCGATCGCCACATCGCAACTGAACTTCGAAAATTTGCTTGCTTGGTGAGTAAGTTGGCTCTTGGTTGTCTTTGGTTGCCTCGATCTGCTTGATCTTACTCAAGTAAATGGTCAGCTGTTGGCTGACAAATTGTTTATTGCTGGACGCTGTTGCAATGCTACTGACTGTTTGTTTTGGTTTTTTTTTCTTGCTGCCGGAAGTATTTTGATTCAACGTCATCAGCGTTGATGCAGCTGTGATCTATGCAAAAAATGACGAACTTTTCGCTCATTTGAATATCTTTTTGGAGAGAAAGAGAAATGCCTCTCTCTCAATACTCTTGTTCATGTATTTTTATAGAATGTTTTCGCTTTGTCAAATTTGGATTAAATAATTTGCCAAACATTTCTTTGCCCTATTTTGCAAAGATTGTTAATATATTCAAATAATACATACACATGTATAGACAAACCATCGATCGCCTTGGCGCGGTGCGAGGATTAGTCGAATCACTAATCAGACCCTCTAAACAGATAGTGGTACAACTGTGTGAGTACATGTACTCACCAATTGAACCCTATCGCCTTTAACGATGACCAGGAGTTGTTAGGTCGGAGCATCCCAAATGTCATTCGGTGCGTCTCGGGAAGTAGGAGGACGACGGGAAGAGTACCCTCTGAAAGGCCCACCCCTTGACAGTAAGGATAAAATGCAATCTCTCTCTCTCTCTCTCTCTCCCTCTCTCTCTCTCTCTCTTTCTGTCAATGGAGAGCCTACTTCTGAATTAGTTAGAAAGCGAACTACCATCGATACGTTCTGGAGCAACCAAGGTTGTGACAGATGTGGAGATTCTAGATGGTATCGTAAAGATACAATGCTCTAATGAGTTTTCCCGAGAGTGGCTGGCCAAAATAATAGCAAGGATGCCAGCCTGCGAAAACTGCAAATTCATCCTACTGCTTGGATACCGCGACAGAAAGTGGGACTGAATACGAGCCAATGGCGTATTTATTCATACACCTGGAGAGGACCGACTTCCAGCGATGGAGAAGGCTCTTTCCTGGTCGTGGGTATTGACGAAGACTCGTTGGAAGTATCGCCTTCACCTACACCTGGGGCGAACACATTTTCGAGTCCATGATAAGAACTGAGAAACTGGTAAGTAGTAGTTTATGGTTTTATCTCCTCTAGGTATAACTGAAATAATTTTTACACAACTTAATTTGCAGCATAGCAAATCGTCTACTACCCTATTATATAGTAGGTATGCGAAATTGCATATGAACCTCCAAATAATCCTAGTTCAGGAACCATGGGTATGCCGCGGTTGTATCTGTGGACTTGGAGGGATTTCCTTGGGTAACGTACTTTAATTTCGAGGGGCAGAAAGGCCGCGCGCATGCGAGCTTTTTGAGCTAATTCAAGCTTGCACAATATTATACTAAAATTGAAAACTGCATACCCGAATTATTTCTAGAAATTGAAAAAAGTTCGAAATTTTGATGTCCATTTTTCGAACTTCGTCAAATTATTAAATGTAAATCTTATACAAAGTTTAAAGCTTTGAATTATGATTTTTATTGTAGCATGCACTATATTTTCCTAAAAAAATATGTTAAAAATAACAAGTACAAATATATGGCCAAAACTTGAAAAAGAAAATGGTTTCTAATTGTACTTCATTTCCAAAAAAAAAAAATGGTTGTATACCTTTAGGTATTTTTTTCAATTTCCTCAACGGTGGGGCTAAAATAAATGAAAAATCTTCTTTTCATCATTTGGTTTTTGATTTATGACAAATTATCGTATTTCTATTTAATTTATTGACATATTTTACAAAGCGAAGTTACTTAATATCAGCAATGATTTGCTTATAAATTACAAATGTGTCGTAAATTACGATAATGCGAACATACATTAATGTATTTTTGCTTTTCATCCTCACGTGCTCATGAACTAACATTTAATTAAACAAACTAAGTAATCAATTTATTAATTCTAAAAATATGAATTCCATTAGCATTTTGTAGGAGCTTTTGTATGTGTATTTTAAACAGGAAATTTTGAGCTTTGCAGCAGTAATTAAAAGCTGAATACAAAATTTTAACTGTAATGAATTTTGGAATTATGTATTTACTATTTAATTTCAAATGTAACAATGCATTATTATGTTTTTGCGCTCTCTATTATTGGAGTAGGCTAACTTTTCATTAAATTTGTGTTTGTAGTTAACGAAATTATTTCGAGACGCCTAATAGCATAGAACAATGCAATAATTGCGTAAATAAATTAATTAATGTAGTTTTGAATGCATAACTGCGTTGAAATGCCTAACAAAGAAGCTGATTTTATTACTAACAGCACTTACATTTAAAAATATTAAATGCATGTATGTATTTTAAAGGTATGCTACAAATTGGAGTAATATACATATGTACATACATACATATATACTCTTACAATGGTTAACCACTCTTGCCCATATATGTATTCATAAATGTGTTTGTAGCTCTGCATAAAGTGATTGAAATTTATGCCAATGCCGCTGGAGAATATCCAACCCATAAATTTATTAAAATTCAATTTGTTCAACAATACAACAACACAAGCAGAAAAGCAAAATAATAACTTATTTAGCATTTATGCGATTTCGATTACATAAACTATGCAGACGCTAAGTGTAGCTAAGCTGACGCACGGTGGGAGTGTGTCATACAAAAGTTGGTCATAAATAGTAAAATGTCAAATTTGGTAGACAAGCTTCTTTGAAGCATATTATTTAGAAAAAAAATACCTAAAATGAACTTAATACGTTTACACATACGCCCATTCGCCATATAACGGAAATTTTGGAAAACTTTTAAATTGCAATATTTTGAAATCTCATAAAGTTCGAATGCTCAAACTGGATATATAAGGACATATTTGAAATAGAAATTGAGTTGTCGGATTATATTTTGGAAGGCAGGTGGCAGCGCCCACATTTTATCAAGTATATATATGGCGGAGCATTGACCTTGACAGACAAACGCCATTTGCTGAATGAAAATGTCAGATTTATTCTTTAAACATATTTTTATTTTTTATGAATAAGGCCATACGTATTTAAGGCAATTTTAAATCGGAATTATTGCGTTTTGTTTTAGAATTCCTCAAATATGCTTAATGAACAAGTCAATTTTTATTTGATTTATATTGCAATTTTTTAGTTAGCTTAAGCAAAAAAATATTTCATTTTCACAAACCAGCTTTTTTATACCCGAGCGCACTTGTGCACAAGGGTATTATAACTTTGTTCACATAACGGTTGTTTGTAACAGGCAAAACGAATCGAGATAGATATAGACAAATGTATACATAAATGATCAGAATGAAAAGAGAAATCGATTAAGCGGTGACTGTCTGTCCGTCCGTCCGTCCGTCCGTCCGTCCGTCTGTGCACACGATAACTCGAGTAAAAATTGAGATATCTTAACGAAACTTGGTACGTGAACTTGTTTTGGGCGTGGGACGGATGGTATTGAAAATGGGCGAAATCAGATAATAACCACGCCTACCTTCCATATAACGGTAATTTTAAGAAATACGAAAACTGCGATATTTTAGTAACTACTGAAGATAATTCACTCAAAATTGATACTTACAATGAGTTTCAGACGGAAAACATGAATATTATAAATTTTTGGAAAATGGGCGTAGCCACGCCCACTTATGGTTACATGTGTATATCTTGGTAACCGCTGCACCAATTTCTTCCAAACTCGGCACAGTTGTTGGCCTTAGTACAGTATACTAAATGGCTAAAAATTTAAAAAATCGGACAATAACCACGCCTACCTCCCATATAACGGTAATTTTCAGAAAAACTAAAACTGCGATATTTTGGTAACTACTGAAGATAATTCACTCCAAATTGATATTTGCAATGAGTTTTAGACGAAAAATAAGAATATTACAAAATTTTGGCAAATGGGCGTAGCCACGCCCACTTATGGTTACATGTGTATATCTTGGTAACCGCTACACCAATTTCCAAACTTGGCACAGTTGTTGGTCCTGGTACAGTATACCAACTGGCCGAAAATTTCTAAAATCGGACAATAACCACGCCCACATCCCATATAACGGTAATTTCGAGAAATACAAAATCTTCGATAAATCAGTAAATCTTGAAGCTAATTTATTCAAAATTGATGATTGCAACAATTCTTTACCAAGAAATACGTTTATGACAAAATTTTGGAAAATGGGCGTAGCACCGCCCACTTGTGATCACATATATGTATCTCGCTAACCGTTCTAGCAATTTGTACCAAGCTCGGTATGGTTATTGTGCTTGCCACATAAAAGCAAACCGTTGAAAATTGTTGAAATCGGACTAAAATTGAGGCCGCTTTTCATACAACGGTAAATTTCAGATATGCTTGAAATTTCAATATTTCGAAATTTAAGGACGCTAATTTACTTAAAATGTATACACCCCGGCTTATCATGTAGCGGTAGCTTTCGGAATGGTGGAAAACATATATTTAATACTTGCGCCGGGTATTTAATGTTCGGCTCCGCCCGAACTTAGACTTTCTTACTTGTTTTATTTTATTTTTCATAAAAACCAGCCTTCAGCTCTAAAAAACTGTTCCTAAAAATACCTAGTTTCTCGAAGGTGAAATGGAATTATAACAGATAATAAGAAATATCGATTAGTAGGACTAAATAAGTAAAGAAGTGAAATTGATAAGAAAATAATTTTGAAAAAATTTAAAACTTAATTATGTACTATATAAATATTGGACTGACAAGTGTGAAAATATATATGTCGACATGTTTATCGATTATTATCGATAAATGTATAAGCAATTATATCGATTATTTTATCAATTACCACACTGCGGCAGTGGGGGTTATTACTGAGTCCATAGCACTGCTCAAGGGATGTGTTTAATTCCTTTTTGCATTCTACTTGATGTTTTCTGTAGGCTCGTGGTAAAAATTTTGAAAAATAGGGTTGCCAGATATTTGAAAATTTTAAATTATGCTAAGGTCAATAAAAAATTTAAGTTTCTTCATCAAAAATAAA